TTTCAAAAAGAATTGGCTGGAGATGAAGACGCACAGCAGACAACTACACACCGCTGTTTTTCAAGGATTGCGTGAGCATCTGCATACTCCCAAGCGAGCTGAACGTCATTAGTCACTGATACCGATATTCAAGGAGGCAGTCACGAATCTTCTCGCAGGTGCCAACTTACACGGCACCTCTCAGTGAGCGAGTCAGGCCGATGCATTCCAGAATATTGTGTTATTACTTAGATCGAAAGGCAATATCGAGCTGTGCATTCGCTTAGGCACATCTCCAGTTGTCAGCTGCAGCGCAAACTGTGCAGGTTTCCTTGGTGGTTCTGGGCAGCCGTGAGTGGCACAGCTCAGGGGGTGCATGCAATTGCTTAAAAGCTCATGTGCAAATGCATCTGCACGAAAAAGAAGCCTCAAATAGTTCATCTGCATCTCAGTGAGAAGCAGGGCTTTCTGCAGCAAGAATTCGCGGGCGGTTCTTCCTCTGTGCCTCTCCTGTCGCTGCATATGCCGCAGAACAGAGCCACTGACATTGGTGAAAATAGACAAAAAGGAGTCCATTTCAAAGTCCTAGTGACCCACTTGCCCCAGGCACGCCAAAGTAACCTCAGAGTCAAATGGATAGAAGAAAAGCTTTGCAGGAAAGCTGCAAATTGCTTAGGCCGCTGCTCTGGGCCGGCAAACCAGAGCCGGAGTGGGGCCTCAGGAAGGCAAAAGCTTGATTAAAGAATGCTTTCGTTTGAAGAAAAATGACTAAAAACTAGAAGACTAAATGCTAGTTCCTCGCTGCCCGTGCAGGAAGCCGTCGGATCTGGGAATGTTTTAGTAAAGTCAGCAACTGCAGCGCGGGCCTGACTGCGTCTTTAGGAGGCCAGCATTAGTCTTTAGTCACCATATCTTAAAGAAGTATTACATAAATCTGTACCCGCAGGGTTTTCACGTGGGGCCCCACACCATTGGGGTACCATCAATGACACAAGGCACTGGGGCCCCTAGCTGAGCTGGGGGTCAGCAGCAGCCGCCGCAGCAGCAGCAGCAGTTTTAGCAGCACTGGCAGCCACCAACACGCTCTGTTCTGCTGCTGCAAAAAAGGGTGCAGCCCACAGCCAAGAAGCACTCAGGGGCCCCCCTCACAAGACGGGCTTGCAGGGGGCCTCCCAACTGCCAAATATCCAACCCCTAGACAACCTAGCTACGTCATCTTTGCGTGCAACTTGGACGCACTCGAAAGGCCCAAAAGGGCCCCTTGGGGGCCCCTGCAGGGCCCCTCAGAGGCCACTTGGGGGCCCTCTGTGGGGCTTTTCTACGCCGGCAGCCCGCAACGCATGCACAGGCTACCTCCCGTGGGGGCCCCATCTCCTGACCACAAGAGCAAGGCTGACCCATCACAAGGGGCCCCCAAAGGCAAGGGTCCCACCTGCATTTTCTTGGTGACAGACAGGGGCCCCCTGGGACCCACAAGAGCTCCCGGGGGCCCCAGGGGCCCCTGGAGGCCCCAGGAGCCCCCAGGGGCCCCTGGGGGCCCCCAGGGGCGCCCGTCTCAGGCTAACAGGGGCGGCCCCTCCCCACTAGGGTAGCGAAAAGGGCCGCACATTGGGCAAGAGGCCTTTAGCCTGTCGAAAAGCCAAACGTCAAGGCAGCCAGCTGCACAAGAACCGCAAACCCCAAACCCTAAACCCTAAACCCTAAACC